GAAGTCTTCAGAGGTTACTACAGGTCATTGTTGCATGGTGGGGAAGTTTTCAGTGGATGTCATCTGTACTTATGCTGTTGGATATGGAACAAACTTTGTATCCTTGTATATGTGTGCATACAGCAAAGGCGTGAGCAGTGGTTTGTAGAACTAACCTTTATTTACTTTCTCTCTCTTCCTCCATCACTCTCTTCTTTCTGTGTTTTTTTTTTTATATCTTGCTCCTCCTCTATCTTTTGTTTTGCACTTTTTCTTTTACTCCTCTTGTGCTCTTCTCTCTTATTCACTTGCACTCTTTTCTCTCTCTCTCCCCCCCCTCCCTTACTTGCTCTCTTCTCTCCCCCTCTCTCTCTCACACACTTGCGCTCTTCTCTCTCTCGCTCTCTCTCCCTTGCACTTTTCTCTCTTGCGCTCTTCTCTCTCCCTCACTAGCTCCCTTCTCTCTTGCTCTCTCTTCCTTGCTCTTCTCTCTCACGCTCTCTCTCCCCCTCACTTGCGATCTTCTCTCTTCCGCTCTCTCTCCCCCTCACTTGCGCTCGTCTTTCTTCCCCCCCCGACTCTTCCCCCCTCACTCTCCCCCTCACTTGCGCTCTTCTCTCTTCCGCTCTCTCTCTCCCCCTCACTAGCGATCTTCTCTCTTCCGCTCTCTCTCTCCCCCTCACTAGCGATCTTCTCTCTTCCGCTCTCTCTCTCCCCCTCACTAGCGATCTTCTCTCTTCCGCTCTCTCTCTCCCCCTCACTAGCGATCTTCTCTCTTCCGCTCTCTCTCTCCCCCTCACTAGCGATCTTCTCTCTTCCGCTCTCTCTCTCCCCCTCACTAGCGATCTTCTCTCTTCCGCTCTCTCTCTCCCCCTCACTAGCGATCTTCTCTCTTCCGCTCTCTCTCTCCCCCTCACTAGCGATCTTCTCTCTTCCGCTCTCTCTCTCCCCCTCACTAGCGATCTTCTCTCTTCCGCTCTCTCTCTCCCCCTCACTAGCGATCTTCTCTCTTCCGCTCTCTCTCTCCCCCTCACTAGCGATCTTCTCTCTTCCGCTCTCTCTCTCCCCCTCACTAGCGATCTTCTCTCTTCCGCTCTCTCTCTCCCCCTCACTAGCGATCTTCTCTCTTCCGCTCTCTCTCTCCCCCTCACTAGCGATCTTCTCTCTTCCGCTCTCTCTCTCCCCCTCACTAGCGATCTTCTCTCTTCCGCTCTCTCTCTCCCCCTCACTAGCGATCTTCTCTCTTCCGCTCTCTCTCTCCCCCTCACTAGCGATCTTCTCTCTTCCGCTCTCTCTCTCCCCCTCACTAGCGATCTTCTCTCTTCCGCTCTCTCTCTCCCCCTCACTAGCGATCTTCTCTCTTCCGCTCTCTCTCTCCCCCTCACTAGCGATCTTCTCTCTTCCGCTCTCTCTCTCCCCCTCACTAGCGATCTTCTCTCTTCCGCTCTCTCTCTCCCCCTCACTAGCGATCTTCTCTCTTCCGCTCTCTCTCTCCCCCTCACTAGCGATCTTCTCTCTTCCGCTCTCTCTCTCCCCCTCACTAGCGATCTTCTCTCTTCCGCTCTCTCTCTCCCCCTCACTAGCGATCTTCTCTCTTCCGCTCTCTCTCTCCCCCTCACTAGCGATCTTCTCTCTTCCGCTCTCTCTCTCCCCCTCACTAGCGATCTTCTCTCTTCCGCTCTCTCTCTCCCCCTCACTAGCGATCTTCTCTCTTCCGCTCTCTCTCTCCCCCTCACTAGCGATCTTCTCTCTTCCGCTCTCTCTCTCCCCCTCACTAGCGATCTTCTCTCTTCCGCTCTCTCTCTCCCCCTCACTAGCGATCTTCTCTCTTCCGCTCTCTCTCTCCCCCTCACTAGCGATCTTCTCTCTTCCGCTCTCTCTCTCCCCCTCACTAGCGATCTTCTCTCTTCCGCTCTCTCTCTCCCCCTCACTAGCGATCTTCTCTCTTCCGCTCTCTCTCTCCCCCTCACTAGCGATCTTCTCTCTTCCGCTCTCTCTCTCCCCCTCACTAGCGATCTTCTCTCTTCCGCTCTCTCTCTCCCCCTCACTAGCGATCTTCTCTCTTCCGCTCTCTCTCTCCCCCTCACTAGCGATCTTCTCTCTTCCGCTCTCTCTCTCCCCCTCACTTGCGCTCTTCTCTCTCGCGCGCGCTCCCTTCCTCTGCTCCATGGATTTAATTCTTAGGTTTTTTTCGTTTGTATATGTTCAAGCAGTTATGTTCAAGCAGTTATTTTGATATCGTATCTGTTGCTTACCTCTCAATTTCATGGTAGATTATCTGGACCATTTAACAGATGGTAGTAGGTTGTAAAAGCCAGTTTGATGGAGTTATTGTTCAGATGATATATTTAAAGATTAAATATATAGTTGTAATTGGCTGTGGTGTGTCAGTTGGGAATGACTGACTGTAAAGGCCGTGAAGTATGCAGGGTCCATAACCGAGGTAGGCCATCACAATACTTCTTACATAGATATCTAATGTATATCTTCCGGATAGCCTCCCTCAGTGTGACTGTTGAGCCTGATACTAGCCATATACAGCTCAAATTTTGGTTGATTGCTGCTGTATCGGATAAAATTAAAGCCGTGTGTGGCTTGACAATTAGAAAATAGGAGACCAGTTGAAAATTGCCTGCCGCACAGAGATTGCATCCAATCAGATGCAGTCACTGTTCTGGTACTTAGACGGCCGCAAATGCTAGCTGTCTGAATATAATAGCTGGCAGGTGGAGATGCAAACAAATGTTTCCTCTTTTTCAACTGGGGCTGTGGGGCTGAACACAAGAAATTTAGGCCGGTCTTTCTTGCTTTTAGACTTCAACACAGATCCCATGAATTCCTTCCATTAATGTTATTGCACTCATAGAGTGTAAAAAACCCTTGCTTCGGCCCGCTTGCGCGTCCTCGCTTCGGCCTGCATCTGGATCTGCTGTTACAAAGACCGGTTTACCACAGCATGGCTGTTGACGCCTGGGTCATAAGGGATAGGGGACTATTTGATTTGGTTAACCCTCTGCTCAGGTAGTTCCCTGTTCCCCTATCTCCAGGTGGATTTGGCAGCTTATTTAAGTCTATACACTTGGGGACAAGGTTTCACCCTTCCCTTCAAGGCGCACTCCATAAATTATTTGGAGGATGGCTACATTTGTTCCCCATGGTCCCTGTGTGTGTTGTAAAGAGTCACCACTCCACGTTTGCTCCCGTTATAGACTATAATTTATTTATAAATTAGTAAACTATTTTACTCCATCACAGGAGTGAGCTTGGAGTGGTGGCTTCTTTGCAACATGGGGAACAAAAGTACCCTCCTGAAGGAAGGACAATGTCGGCATTCAGAGATGCAAATTACAGCCAAGTAATACACAAATAAGCTACAATGTTGCTGAGTGTAGCTCAGGTACTTGAATGCATTTAAAGTGAGGTCAAAATATTCCTTAATGGTAAATGCTTCTTTGTCTGCTGATCACTATCTGCTAACAGTGATCTTTCTATTGACCGCCCACAAATACTAACTCGACGGGAGTGTATGCCTATGTATAAAGTTATTTTGAGTTTTGTAATTTGAATTTAAACATCTCTGCAGAAATCTGTTTTTCACTTTAACAATGAAGAGAGTATATTTCTGTGGACCGATATAAACAAGCCCTAAAATGAAATGTACTGCTACTCGTTTGCGCCCACGTTCTTTGACTCTGGCCTCTTTAATTCTTCTTCCTTCTTTTTTTTTTTTTTACATTTAGCCAAAGCAATATTTAAAGCAGTTTTTTTCTTTTTTTATAACATGCCATTGGAACTCCTTTGTGGTGGGGCTTTGAAGAACACAACCCTTGTTGCTTGGTATGAGTCATTGAGTGATGTAACTACCTACGTTCTCTAAAGCAGAATCCCAGGCAAAAATGTTTTTTAATGCTTGCAGTAGGGCTACCCCTGCACTACAAGGCTTAAGTGATAATTTTTGTGTAGGTGCTAAAAAAAAAAAGTTACATTTACCCGAACCGTGGACCCTGTCTCCTTCTCCTCCACTGCAGAGGGGGAGAGAGGCTCCAGGTACCGTTCTAAGAGCAAGAAGGCTCCAAGTATCGGGTGAGTATAATATTTTTGTAATTGTTTTTTTTTTTTTAGCACCTAGACAAAAATGAGCAGTTAACCCTTGCAGTGTGAGGGTAGCCCCACTGCAAGGGTTAAGGAAATGTTATGCCTGGAGTCCTGCTTTAAGAAAAGCTCAATACTGTTTATTGACTGACCATGAACAAGGACTTTTTTTTTTTTTATTAAAGTGCATGAAAAGCCAAAATATTTTTTTTTTTTTTGGATAGAGTAGGGAATAGATAAGGTTCCTGTCATTGTCTGTGCTTCATCGGGGAGATTTCTACAGTATTCACTTCTTGTCCCAGAGACACAACAGGAAGTAAGAGAAGATCTATACAAAGCAAGGGGCTTATCCCCCCTTTTAGGCTGTTTGCACAAGAACAGGTGTCCCCATGGGAAGATTTCCCCTCGCCTGCTGTTCCTGTGACAACTCAAATGTTTTTGATTTCCCATCACTTTCTGTAGAGTTGACAGCAGCAGCAATAAAAATCCAGCAAAGTTTCTAACTCTTCCCTATTGCATTCAAAACTAAACCGCTTTGGCTCCACATACATTTAAATGTAATAAAATTAGAGCTTGTAAATACTGAATTGGAAATATTTGCACAGCTTTAGAATTTCGTCAGCCAAGCCAGGGCCGTTACAGGCCAAACACACTGTCCTAAGGCCTCAGCATCACAGAGGGGGAAATGGGTTTGTGGAATTCGGGATGTTTTTCAAGGCCTTTGCACACGCAACAGAAGTCTTTTGGTACATCTTTAGATAGAGGAACTTGATTGGGAAACAGCACACTTAATATAACTCGCCAGACAGGACCCTCGTGTTTGTCACATCCTGAATGTTTTTATAGAAGCAGCCTTGGTTTTATCATTGTTTAGATGTGTTTGTTTTCTACTATGTGTGTGCTTCATAATGTAAATCTTGTCTGTGCAGGTTCAGATGCTGGCAGGAGGACAGTCCATTTACTATGAAGAAAAGGTTTTAAGCTTCTGTTCAAGAACTCTCTTTGCTGAACATTGTGGTAGGTTTGAATGTGTTGTGCTTTTCTTGGAAATGTCTCTACTCTCCTTTTGAACATGTAATAACACAAAGTTAGAGTCCACATTCTGAGGAGCTTAATTCCTTATGCTCCCTCATTTATTGATTCACACTCCAGTGCTTAAAAGAGAACTATGGGAGAAGTGTTTTTTTCCCCATAGTTCTCTTAAGGGTCACGGGAGGACATATACTAGCCTCCTCCTGTGACCCAAAGCTCGCTATATCGCAAGCCACAGCTCGCAATATACTGAGAGCGCCGCAGCCGGGACGAATCCTGACAATGCTGTCGCGATCCACCCAGCTGCGTGAGTGACAGCTGGCTCTGCCTATCCAGCTCTACCAGCCTCCTACCCCATCCATTCCTTCACTCAGCGATGGAGGATCTGAGGGGGGAATCCCTGCGGGGAGCCGTGACTGACAGTCACTGCTCTCTGCAGGGAGATGATTGAGAAGTGAGTGAGCGACGGTATGTGTTTGCTCACTTCCCGATCTATTGAGCCAACATGTGGCATTTTCATTGTCACATGTTGGCTCGAACTATGAGGATGAGTGATTTTCACTTGCCTCATAGTTCTCCTTTTAAATGTTTTTTCATGCTTGTGGCTGTGCAGACTGATCAAGGCTCTGCTTCATTAAGGGGAGGTAGCAGTGTTATTTCACATCCTAGCCTATAGTTATTTTAAATCTAAAACCCAGGAAGTGAAAATGAATTCTTCCTCTGCCTCACTTTCACTTCCTGGGTTTGTGTAGAGTGGCACAAAGTGGACTTGTGACTCTCAGCTGCTTAGCATGGACATGCGCAATTGACCGCTTTCCATTAACATGATCTGCTACTATATTGACAAGGACACATACTGTTGACAGAAAATCTAAGAAATACTTGTCCTTACAAGCAATGTATAAGCGGACTGATCAGCCCACACTGTGTAAATAATTCCAGTGCAGAGTCACTCCCAGCAGACCCAGCCCTACAAATTGGAAACCACTGGCACACTTGTACTTTTTTACTGACCACCACTGTACATGTGCATTTCTCCACTACACCGCCACATTTCTCCATTGACCGCCACTGTTTCATCACACTTCTCCAGTAACCTACATTGAGTAAAGTTTCAGCAATGTTATCTGACTAGAATGCAAGGGTTGGAAGCATGCGATCATGCCCTCTCCTCCAGAGTCCATCTCTGATTTCCCTGGGGATGCAGCTGTTTCTGTATAGTCAGTTGAAGCGAATTAGAAATTTTCCCTATCCCTTTTGGACAAGTTGGTACATGAGGAGACTCTGCTGATCCAACTCCTAAACTTAAATGTGTTATCCCTATGCACAAGTGACTACCTTGGATCTCCCTTTGGTTCCGAAATTTCTTCAGAAACTGCTCTTTCTATTCACCTATCTACTCTCACAATTAAGGCTGCCTTCTTTATTAACATTACCTTTGATCTGATTTGGTTATCCCTACACTCTTGAAAGCTTGGAAATAGACTTCCTCAAGGTCTAGCATCACACCTGAAAGACATATTTCTCATAATGTGAGGCAAGGTACTTCCATCCCATGATTTACTCCATGGAACAATCCTGTCTTTTCTCCAGTAGGGGCTAGATCATTTTAGCTCGGAGCACTTTCAAGGGCCTAATTTTGGCCCTGGAGATTTTCTTTTTAACCACCTCCGGGCTGGCCGTAGTAAAAAAAACGGCCGGCCCGAGCCCTCTAGATCTGAGCGGGCGTCTTTAGACGTCCGCTCAGACACGCCCCCCCCCACACGCACCTCTCGGCGCACGCGAGCGGGAAATGGGCGAAATTTAAAAACAGGCAGCGATGCCTGTCACCATACAAGCGATCCGCCGGCTGTAGAGCCGGCGGATCGCGTGTATGGGGTGGCGATCGGTGTGTCCCCCCCTCCCCCGCCGTTGTCCCGCTGATCCCGGGCTCTGCTTAATGGGAAAGGTGCAGCATTCCTGGGAGGGAAAATGGTAGAAAGACTGGAGGAGCTTTTAAACTAGAAAGTGGGACTCAGGTTCCCTTTTAGCTATGTCTTCTTAGAGCCTTATTCACGTGACTTGTATGCGTCTATAGGATATAGCTCATACAAATACATGTAGTGATTCGAAATGGTATAATGCACACTGTGCATTTACTTGTGTTTTTAAGTGCATTCAGTTTAGCTGCGTTTAGAAAAAATTGAAATCTGTGCGTTCAGGAACAGATTGGACAACTCTGAACACGTCTGTGTGTAAAAGCATTTACAATTAAACACGGGAGAAATTCATCTGGGAGGTATAACGTTTGTGTATACTTCGCAGATCAATTTTTCCTACATTTAAATTACAAAAATAAATAAGCAGATGGCCCATGTGAATGAGGGCTTTGGATCAGTGATGCTCACGCTGTCTTCTTTGAGCACTTGACTAAGAAATATTGGTGGGCTGCTGGTAAAACCCACATTCAATGACTGTATTTTGTGGGGGTGTGGAGATGACCAAAGATGCAAAGCAGTAAAACCCACATTTTAATGACTGTATTTTGTGGGGGTGTGGAGATGACCTAAGATGCACAGCATTAATTATATAAATAATAACTTGCCTCTTGTGTCTGTTTTTTGTTTTACAGTGTTTGGCTCACGATGCATGGAGAAGACTGACCCAATATGTCAGCCACGGCTGTCAATGGCTCTGTCAATGTGTCACTTGGTATGTGCTAATCCCAGGTGGCCTTGGTTTGGGTCACCTCGCTGTGGGGTTTTGCATATGCGGATCTTTTGTTTGGGAATATTTAATGGCGCTTTGCAAATGTTGGTTTAGACTTCTTCCTTCTTTCCCTGTAGACGGAGAATCTTTCCACACAGTGGATACATTTCTTGCATTGGATTCTGCTAGCAGCACTAAGTTAACAATAAAGGAGGAGAGGTCAGAGTCTCAAGGAAGTTCTATACTACCTACTGAAAATGAAATCCTCGGAACGGATGGGGAAGGCTCCTCCCACAGCACAGGTGACTTTTTGGAGGGTTTTCTGTCTGCCTTATTCTTTCGGTAAAAAACTGACCGTGCCCTCACGCTAGACTTGAAGAATCTAAATTCTAAGTTTCCAGCATAACCACTCGCTGTTTTAGAGCCCAACCCCAGCCATATTGTTTGATTTGAGCAAAGTGAAAGAGGACTTAGAACCTTCTGTCAAGTTTTTATTGGTGCCTGTGTCCCCATTGGAAGCTTTTGTCTCACTTTTTGTCACTGACATCTGTCACATAGACATCAGTATAAAGCTGTGAACACAGTTGCAATAGGAATTGAAGCGCCACCCTAATGGAAATAGTCCAGATACATTATTCCATTAGTGTCAGGGATACATTCAAGTATAGTAGCCAACATGTTTTGGGGAGCTCAAAATACATCCCCTTTATCGGAACTAAATGAGAGGCAACAAGAATGAATTACTCCCATCACAACAGAGTACAACTTTCAAGCTGTAGGGATTATAGTCCTCAAAAACGATTTCTGTCATTAAGCCCTTATGAAGGGGGTGTATTTTGGACCTCCAAAATACGTTGGATACTCTACCTGAATGCCCCCTAATAGAATAAAGTTGTATTTAGACTATTTCAATTGGTGTGGCACTTCAGTTCCTACATCTACTGTATTCAGTGTCAAGCCAAGGATACTGTGGAGAGCCTTTGCATTGCAGAAGCTGCCTACCCGTTACCCAGATCACTCATAATCACATCACTTAACTACTGCTGGATGAGAATAACTACGCGAGTCCAGTGCTCTCTTTCCACACTTTCAAATATCAATAAAAAGCTGACAGGAGGTAATAAGTCTTCTGTAAAAAACATTTTTTTAAGAGTTGGCTTTTAAATATTAAACTTCAGACAGTGTTTTTACCTTTTGGGTAAGGTGGGGAATATTTATATTTTTATTGCAGTCTCCCACTGGGGAGTGGCAATGCATTTCAACACAACAGGGTCTTTATCACTGTCTACATTTAAAAATCAGTTCACAGAAGCATTGCATAGGCCATCCCATTACTTACAAATTGAAGGTAACATATAGTTACATAGTTAGTCAGGTTGAAAAAAGACACAAGTCCATCAAGTTCAACCTATTGTCCAAGTTCAAGCTAAAGTTTAGTAAAACTTATTGTTTGGCATTTAGCACCAGTGTTATAGTGTTCTGCTAATGATGTGTATCCCACATTTACTGGCTTCTGGTTAGTGTAATAATCCCCCCTTCATGGATGCTGGATACTCCCCACAGCGCTGATCAAATGCTTGCAGTGCCGGAAGATCTGGGCTGTGGGGGCATATCCATCTTCGCATTTATTATTTATTTCAGGTATTTATATTGAGCTAACAATTTACGCAGAGCTTTACATAGTGCACATTAACATCAGTCCCTGCCCTTAAGGAGCTTACAATCTAAAGTCACACCAGGGGGAGGATTATTACACTAACCAGAACCCAGCAGAATACGGTATAAGCATCATTAGAGATGGATTGGTACACTGGTGCTGTACGGCCCATTTGTTTTTTACTAAACATCAAGTTTAAAAATGAAAGCTGGCCTTTAAAGGTATAGAACTTTTTTTTTTTTTTTTAACCAGAACTGAACTTCCAAAAAAAAACATGTTTTACTAGTTGGCACAGTGTTTTAAAGAAGAATATTGTATGCCAATAATGTCCTTTTTTTTTTTCTTTTGCCTTTGCAGCGCAGAAACAATGTGCTGGGCAAATGTAACTATATTGCTAGTCCTTTTCCTTTCAAATTATTGCAGCAGTTAAGTCAAACCTAAGAAGAGGAGACATATGCAATTATGATAAAGATCCTGCCGAGTTGAAACTCTGTTTGCCATTTTTGTTGCTTTGAAATTTGTAGCCAATAAAGTCAGGACTTTATTGTAAGGGATGTTTTTTTTTGGAGAGACTACAAAAATCACACACTCTCTTGCAATACAATTCTGCTGCTCCTATTTTAGCACTGGGTGAATTTTCCTATTTCTTGTCAAGTTATTAGGCTTTAATTACAATTAAACTAAAATGTATTAACTGTCTTCCAACAGCAGAGGAGCCAGAACGTAAAAGGAAGAAGGGTCCTGCACCAAAGATGCTGGGTAATGAAGTCTGCAGTGTGTGTGGAGATAAGGCCTCAGGCTTCCACTACAATGTGCTAAGCTGTGAGGGCTGTAAAGGCTTTTTCAGGCGTAGTGTAATAAAGAATGCCAGATACACTTGCAAGAACAATGGCAAGTGTCAGATGGACATGTATATGCGCCGAAAGTGCCAGGAGTGCAGGCTCCGGAAGTGCAGAGAGGCCGGCATGCGGGAGCAATGTAAGTCGTCATTGTTTTTCGTTTTTGTTGTGTTTTTGTTTTCATTTTTAAGGTTTGCAATGGTAGTACAGGCAGTCCCCGGGTTACGGACGTCCGAACAATCCGTACATACGAACCGGGGGCCATAGTTTTCCTAAATGTACCGGCAGTTGCCGGTACATTTAGGAGAACTGTGGCTGCAGCGGCCTGTGTCCCTTCAAATCCCCGCTGCTCTCCGCGCCTGTGTTGGCGGGGATACAGACCACTGCATTCCTAGCTGTACCTCTGCTAATGTCCCAGCGTCCTTTTCCCACAGTCAGTCTTCTTCTCTTCCCGGTCCGGCCGATCCGACGGTCCGGCCGCAGCTCCTTTGCCCCGCCCCCCTGCCTCCTCTTAGTCTGCAGGCTGGGAGCCATACCCAGCTTGCTATTGGATATTGTAAAATGCAATAGCCAATAGCAGGCTGGCTATTGCACCCACCCACTACCTGCTGTCAATCAGCATGGGAGGACCTGATGGAGAACTTTCTCCTTCAGGCTCCTTCTCTGCGTATTGACAGCAGGCAGTGGGCAGATGCAATAGCCAGCCTGCTATTGCAATTTGAAATATCCAATAGCAGGCTGGCTATTGCTCACAGCATGAAAATAAAAAAAGTTTAAAAACAAAATTAAAAAGACAAAACAAATGTAAAAAACATAAATAAAAATTAAAACTGCAAAAAAATAAAGTATATAAAATGTAATTAAAAATAGAAAACTTTTTTGGGTGTGTCATTTTGAATAAAAAATGTTTTTCTTATAATCTTCTGAACAACAGGAACAGACAGCAAAACAAATGTGACCCTTCCCTATGCTATCCAAAACTAAAAAAATGTTTTTTTGGCTGGAGTTGCACTTAAAAAATGTACCTGTTCTGACTTGCATACAAATTCAACTTAAGTACAAACCTAAAGTCCCTATCTTGTATGTAACCAGGGGACTGCCTGTATTATTTTAGCGGTTATGGTAAGGATGGCAGTATTGTTTTAGTGGAGATGGTAAGTAGAAGTGCTGATCTGTCGCTGATAAAGGGTAATGACAAGGCTAGTTCACATACTGATGCGTAATGAAATATTCTTTCTATTTTGTATGGAGGAGACATCCTCCTCAACTCCTTGGCTCCTTGTCCACCTGTGCAGTTATTCCAGTGTTCACTCGGGCAGGCAAAGGTTCAAATCTTCTACATGTGTTCTAGTGGTGTATCTGGGATACAGTCCACATCAGTTGCCGCTTCTAGAATGTTGGACACAAGTAAAGCAAAGGGCACCACCACTGCATCTAGTAGTAATGCCCCTGCATGTGTTACACACGCCTAGCTTAGTGTCCTAAAGATTAAAAAACGTTTATCCCCAGCTTTGCTGAATCAAGACATTTAGTTGGCGATTATTCTATTCAACAGCTGCTGGTAGTAGTGCAGACAGTTCACTGCTCCAATTCTGAGACCCCATACAACCAAGAATCGCTCCAAAGGAGCAGGCAAAACCAGCTTGCCGGCGCAGTGCATCACAATTCTTCAAAAACAAGCCGCATTTCTGTCGTTCAGCATAGATAAAATGGTTGTTTATTGAAATAACAAATACATGATGTGGAACAACTTCCCAAGTGTGCAACCTCTCAGGCGTTTCTCCAATCTGGCCTAATCACAGATGCTGGTAGTGTCAGACTGCACTACCCAATCCTGGAATATTCACTCAAGAAGTCAGCTTTTTATAGTGTCTTCCCAAACTCTAAAATGTTGTATTTTATTGCAGTTAACTTTTTTGTGTGACTTGCAGTCACCACAGTAGCCATACCAGGTTCAATGTCTTTACACTGTTCAACATTGCTGCATGTATGGTGTTACTAATGGACCATCACCAGACTGAAACTTGCTGATTGCAGGCTGCCACTGAATAGTGGAACGGTGACTCCAATGAGTGGCATAGGTGAAGGGAATTTTTACCAGAGCATGATCTCTACTGCTTTTATTTTACTCTGCTGGTCCTTTACTTTTACACTGGACGCTGCAGCCATTTTTCCTGCCATATTGCCACCATCTTCGTGAGGAGAAGCTGCCCACGCTTCAGGTTTTTGTGTGGGGCACCATTTTCTGTTGTATACTGACATGAAGTAGGTGGACCATGCTCCAACTTGTACAGTACAATGGGTTTGACCTATCATGCGAGTCCTCTCCTTCGTGTGTGCTTTTTTTTGCCTGCTGCACATGGCCTCTTCATGTGGGGGGACACAGGACTCTGTAGTGTTTTGCCAGCATTAGAAGGTACCTATTGTTCTAGAAGCTGCTATGTCTTGGTTGTCCAGGGTGCTAGACCAAGCCTCGGCTGTCTGATTAGGCTATAGGGTTTGCAGGAAGCGACCACCTCAATACACTGATTTTTTTCTCGAACTTTGAATCGGAGCACGCAGCCTCGTCATGCTCTTTGGTTGCTGCATCCTATTGTACTACTTTCACTTCCCTGATTGAAAGGGAGTGCTGAGATAATTCTTTCTCTCTGCAGAAGGTAACCCTGGACAATCTTTTGCAGGAAGTGATTGACACACACTCAAGGTGGAATACCTAACTGAGAAACTGAAATCTCTCTTTAGGCTGATTTGTTCCGTTACTGGTTCTGTGCTTAGACCAGTGTTTGCCACTACCTACCAGGCAGGTACTGAATGGACTAAGACCTGCATCAGGAGATGTTTCTAAGAGAACTCCTTAACACTGATTGATATGACTGGTTGGATTGTGCAGGCAGACAAGTTCAACTGTGTCATCTAACTGGACATTGGAAGCCTGCATCCACTCTGCTTCTGTGGTCTTTAGGAAGATTCTCTGGCTTAAAAACTGGTCTGTGGGCCAATCATCCAAGAGATCTCCAGTTCAATCTTCCTTCCTGGGAAACATCGGGGAGTCATTGAAACTTTCCTGAATGAGATAATCAAGATAGCCATCAGCGGGGAGCGCATGCAGACTCTGCTACGGTGGGTCGGCTGCGACAGGTGGTCCTCCCCGACGCCTATGGGATTCGTCCCAGGGGGGGGCTTCTGACCGGGGGCTCCGGCCCACCGGTCGCGGCTCTCCCCGCAGGCTGGCGGCGCCGCGGCTTCGGTCGGGGGCGTTCTCCTGCCGGTACCCTGCTCCTCCTGGATCCTGGCGATGGTTCCTGTCTTCCCTGGTGGTATGTATGTGGGGTCTCCGGTGGATGGCCTGAGGACCTGGATCTGAGGTAAGCTGAAGGCTGCACGGTTTCACAGCTGCAGCCTCCTGTGTCTTCCTCTCCGTAGGGGAGGATACGGCGTGCAGAGCTCCTCCGCTTTGCAGGGTCTGCTATCTGGGCCGGAATAAAAAGTCTCCGACTCTTGGGTCTGGGGGCTGGTTTCTTCGGGCTACAAGATCGAGTTTCTGTCCTGTCCGGGCAACAGTTTCTTCTCGTCCAACACGCGACTATCCCCTTCGCGGTTGGCGGATCTCCAATGCCTTTCCTCCACTATATCTGTTGCCTCGGCTGCTGCGTAGGATCACGGTCGAGGGCGTCACCATCGTCCTCCGTGGTTCAGCTTGTGGTGGACGCCCCGTGGTGTCTGCCTCTGCGTCCCGATCTTCTGTCCCAGGGTCCTGTGTTCCATCCTTCTTTACAGTCGCTGACTTTGACGGCGTGGCTGTTGAGAGCCAGGTCCTGAAGGACCAGGGGTTGTCCGATGCGGTC